TGAAACATTCTGAACATTTCAAAATAAAAGCCTTAAGATTCGGCCGTGGCTAATGCAGCGCCGCAGGCGCTGCAATGATATTAGCTTGCATTATCTTTTCCTCTCAAGTTAGGACACTGTCTTGCGCAGCAAGACAGTGCATTAGCATTAGCACAAACATTAGCATTTCTCTGTTCCCCACCAGTGCACTGCCGTACGCAGTGCAATAAGATTATCCTGCATGATCCTTTCCAGTCAGGTTAGGGCTCTGCCTTGCGGAGCAAGGCAGAGGATTAGCATTAGCCTTTTACCTTGCATGAGGTATTAGCTATTTCCCTTACTTATTACCCATATTTAGTATACTGAATGCAGTAAGTCATGCTTGTGACTCTCCACATTGTATTGATGACATTGCAGCTTTCTTTAGCATGGATGCTAATGTTTAGCATCAGAACGCTGGGTCAAAATCAACGGGCACACACTTTGGCAGGCCCCGGTTAAATTTCTTCAGGAATTTTCTAGTTATAGTTCTTTATTTTTCTTCCGTAGACCGGAATGCGGCTCGCACCGCTGCGAGCCCACCCACAAAAGTGGTATCAAAACGTGCGGCTCGATCCCGGCATGGGAGCTATTACTTTTATGGGGAATCGGCGTTACGACGGCGACATAAAAAGCGAAAAACGAGCGAAATTTCCAACTGCCGAAACGCAGAGCATAACTGCCACCAACTGCCGCTCCTAGAGTGAAAAATGAAGTGGATTTCTGACCCCAAATAAATTTTGAAATCGCCGCCACGCCCACAAATATCGTGCTATCGGTATGAAACTCAGACATGACATCGATACGAATGTCTGCTCCGGTAAAATGTTTTCAAAATTTTTCTAGGGCTTACGGTTTTCTGTCAAGGTGCTTTAGAGCAAAATCAAGTTCCAGCCTAACTGACGCTCTCCACCATATATTTTCATACTTTGATGGAAAATTTCAGACCTCAGCACACACCATTTTTATCTCATCGCTGTAATTACTGTGAATGAGCTACAGATTTGATTTGCAGGACTATCGGAGACAAAAAATAGCTCTCTCATATGCTTCAAACGGTTTTCCGATACGTATCACGGTTTCCGAACGGCAAGGAGTTGTTCGGGCTGCTTTTTCCATTATAACTGACTGAGCTGTCTCACAAAGATAGAAATCTGTCTCTGCCTCACACACATGACAGTTGACCTCTTTAGAACTACAATGACTGCAGGTTAGAACTACAACATGGCGGAACACTCAGTGCCTACAAAAGAGGTCAGAGCTGATTGTCAGAACTACAACATGGCGGAACTGTCAGTTACTACTGAGGAGGAATGAGCTGGCCTTTAGAATTACATTGTGTTTGGGCTTTTTATCACTGATTTTAACCAACCATTGTTACACACAGTATGTGTGTGGACATTTTAAATTAAGCTTAATGAAAATTTCAAAATAAAAGCCCTGAGATTCTTTTATATCACGTAATTGCTCTCTTGGGCATTATGTGACTTTTTTAACAGAACCACTGTTAAACTTTGGATTATTTTGGACATTTAAAATTAAGCTGAATGAAAATTTAAAAATAAAACCTTGAATATTTCTCTCAGGCCTGTCAGAAAAAACTAACTTCTTCAAGCATTTAGAATTAAGTCTGTCCTTGTGTGTCACACTGACATGACAGTTGACCTCCTCTTTAGAACTACAATTTCTGAAGGTTAGAACTACAACATGGCAGAACACTCAGTGCCTACAAAAGAGTCAGAGCTGATTGTCAGAACTACATCATGGCGGAACTGTCAGTTACTGCTGAGGAGGAATGAGATGGCCTTTAGAATTACATTGCGTTTGGACTTTTATAACTGATTGTAAGCAACCATTGTTACAGACAGGATTAGTTTGGCAATTTTAAATTAAGCTTAATAAAAATTTCGAAATAAAGCCTTGAATATTTCTCTCAGGCCTGTCAGAAAAACTAACTTCTTCAAGCACTTAGAATTAAGCCGCTCCTTGTGTGTCACACTGACATGACAGTTGACCTCCTCTTTAGAACTACAATTCCTGAAGGTTAGAACTACAACATGGCGGAACACTCAGTGCCTACAGAAGAGGTCATAGGTGAATATAAAAACTACAACATGGTGGAACTGTCAGTTACTACTGAGGAGGAATGAGCTGGCCTTTAGAATTACATTGTGTTTGGGCTTTTTATCACTGATTTTAAGCAACCATTGTTACACACAGAATTTGTGTAGCAATTTTAAATTAAGCTTAATAAAAATTTCGAAATAAAACCTTGAATATTTCTCTCAGGCCTGTCAGAAAAACTAACTTCTTCAAGCACTTAGAATTAAGTCTCTCCTTGTGTGTCACACTGACATGATAGTTGACCTTCTCCTTAGAACTACAATTCCTGAATGTTAGAACTACAACATGGCGGAACACTCAGTGCCTACAAAAGAGGTCAGAGATGATTGTCTGAACTACAACATGGCAGAACTGTCAGTTACTACTGAGGAGGAATGAGCGGGCCTTTAGAATTACATTGTGTTTGGGCTTTTTACAACTGATTTTAAGCAACAATCGTTACACACAGGATTAGTATGTGAATTTTAAATTAAGCTTAATGAAAATTTCAAAGTGAAAGCTTGAATATTTCTCTCAGGCTTTTCAGAAAAAATAACTGCTTCAAGCATTTAGAATTAAGTCTCTTCTTGTGTGTCACACCGACATGAGAGTTGACCTCCTCTTTAGAACTACAATGACTGCAGGTTTGGACTACAACATGGCAGAACACTCAGTGCCTACAGAAGAGGTCATAGGTGAATATACAAACTACAACATGGTGGAATTGTCAGTTTCTACTGAGAAGGTTTGAGCTGCTCTTTAGAACTACAATTCCTGAAGGTTAGAACTACAACATGGCGGAACACTCAGTGCCTACAAAAGAGGTCAGAGCTGATTGTCTGAACTACAACATGGCGGAACTGTCAGTTACTGAGGAGGAATGAGCTGGCCTTTAGAATTACATTGTGTTTGGGCTTTTTATAACTGATTTTAAGCAAACATTGTTACACACAGTATTTGTGTGGAAATTTTAAATTAAGCTTAATGAAAATGTCAAAATAAAACCTTGAATATTTCTCTCAGGCCTGTCAGAAAAACTAACTTCTTCAAGCATTTAGAATTAAGTCTCTACTTGTGTGTCACACTGACATGACAGTTGACCTCTTTAGAACTTCAATTCCTGAAGGTTAGAACTACAACATGGCAGAACACTCAGTGCCTACAGAAGAGGTCATAGGTGAATATAAAAACTACAACATGGTGGAACTGTCAGTTACTACTGAGGAGGAATGAGCTGGCCTTTAGAATTATATTGTGTTTGGACTATTTATAACTGATTTCAAATGGTTGTGTAACAATCATTTGTTACACACAGGATTAGCGTGGTAATTTTAAATTAAGTTGAATTAAAATTTCAAAATAAAAACCCTGACATACTTTTATATTAGGGAATTGCTCTCTTGGGGATTATGTGACTTTTTTTTTTTTTAACAAAACCACTGTTACACTTTGGATTATTTTGTACAGTGAAAATGAAGCTTACTGAAATTTTCAAAATAAAAGCCTTAAGATTCCTTTCTGGCTCATGCATATTTTAAGGAAAATGGCTGCCTCAAACTGATAGAATTATGTCTCCCCCTGTCTGACTCACAGCTGGCACAGGATCCATTATCATGGCAACGGAACACAAAGGGGCCAGCTGATTAGGACTACAAAAACGCATCACTGTAGTTCTAACTATGGCAGAACTCAGAGAAAAAAGCTGGACTTTAGAACTGCTTGTGTTTTGGGTCTTTTATAACTATTTTTAACCAACCATTGTTACACATGGAATTAGTGTGGAAATTTTAAATTAACTTTAAAAAAAATTCAAAATAAAAGCCTGGACAATTTTTACATTAAATAAGTGCTCTTTTGACCATTATATGTCTGATTTAACCAAATCACTGTTATACATGGGATTACATTGACCATTTAAAATGAAACATTCTGAACATTTCAAAATAAAAGCCTTAAGATTAGGCCGTGGCTAATGCAGCGCCACAGGCGCTGCAATGATATTAGCTTGCATTATCTTTCCCTCTCAAGTTAGGGCACTGTCTTGCGCAGCAAGGCAGTGCATTAGCATTAGCACAAACATTAGCATTTCTTTGTTCCCCACCAGTGCACTGACGTAGGCAGTGCAATAAGATTATCCTGCATGATCTTTACCAATCAGGTTAGGGCTCTGCCTTGCGGAGCAAGGCAGAGCATTAGCATTAGCCTTTTACCTTGCATGAGGTATTAGCTATTTCCCTTACTTATTACCCATATTTACTATACATGCTTGTGACTCTGCACATTGTATTGATGACATTGCAGCTTTCTTTAGCATGGATGCTAATGTTTAGCATCAGAACGCTGGGTCAAAATCGACGGGCACACTTTGGCAGGCCCCGGTTAAATTTCTTCAGGAATTTTCTAGTCTTATAGTTTAGTCTTTCCATCCTGTGAAGATTCAAAGCGTTAAGAGAAATAAAGCCACTCATAAAGAAACTATAAATCATAATTAAACACCTGAACAAAAACTCAACCATTCATCTGCATTTCAGAATCTAAATAATTTTTTTATTGTTTGTTTTTACTCCTCCAAAATTAAACTTAATAGTCATAATAAAACAAGTATAATTTATGCTAATTACAAATTATTCTGATGATAGTAGGTCTGTTACACACATTGAGTAGCTTAGGAGTGATAAATCATCTGGTGTTGACAAGAAGCCGTTTAGGGCCTCAAAAAGGCTTGGACAGGCCCTGATCATGGCTTTGGCATGTTCTTGCATGGCCGCCCCAGAGCAGCCGCTCTCCCTCTGTCCTCCCGTCAGCTCTCGTTTCTTTGTAGAGCGGTTTTGTCCGGTGGCGGTCAGACGGCTCTCTGCCTCACGCTGGTTTCTCTGCAGAATGCTCCTGTTCTCCGGTCGGCTCCCTGTCGGTGCTGTGTGACCCTGTGACCGGACAGTGTCCCTGTCGCCCCCACTTCCACGGCCCGACCTGCGACGTGTGTTCAAAAGGCTACTGGAAGCCGCCCCAGTCAGAGGTCTGCGAGCCGTGTGGCTGTGACCCGACCTGGTCGACCAGTGACACCTGTGACCAGGTAAGACGACCCGTGCAGGTCCACCACTTCAACTCAGTCCTGCGGTGTAAACTCCATCTGACCTGGGTCAAAACGCTTTTGGAAACATATGTTTCTTTCTCCCTAAGGCAACAACTGCCTGAAAAGTCTTTGCTGTCATAGGAAGACATATCTAAATTTGAGAAAATGTGTCCTTCACAAATTGCTTTAACATTCATGAGCGAATCAAAGAAATTGTCCGGTCAGCAGCAGATGTTCAGCGGTTCTCTGAGCATGTTCTGAGCTGGATGATTTCACACTGTGAATGTGTTTGGTTGCAGCGGACAGGTCAGTGTCAGTGCAGACGAGACTTTGGAGGAAGGACATGCAGTCAGTGCGCAGACGGCTCGTATGGAACCCCTCTGTCCGGCTGCCGACGTGAGTCACCTTTTCTTTTCTGATATTTCATCCTATTTTTGCTTCTAATCAAAACCTTGTGTGCGCCTTCATGTCCACAGCTTGCCAGTGTGACTCAGCGGGAACCCTCCCGGAAGTGTGCAACAGGAAAACGGGAGTGTGTTTGTGCCGAGCTGGGGTCACCGGGCCCCGCTGCGACTCCTGCAGTCGCGGGCGCTGTGACTCGTTCCCTGCCTGTGAACTGTGTCCGGACTGCTTCTTCAGTATGGACGCCCAGCGGAGGAATGTCACCCTCGCTCTGGACAAGCTGTCCCTCAGACTGCCGTCTCTCCCCGGAGGCGGCGGGGACCTGGGGAGCCTGGGGCCACGCTTTCAGGAGCTTGAGGCCGATCTCGCCCGGATCAGGGAGTCCGTATCCCGACCGCCCAAGACTGTCACCCAGCTGGAAGATGCTCAGTTCCTGCTCAACAAACTGAGGTGAGGAGCGGCTGAAGCAGTATGAGTTGACTGTATGTTCCAATGATGTCAAGTGAGGGGAGGAGCTTAGAGATGCACCAATCTGATATTAATAACTAATCCCCGATATTGAAAACGAATTCTAGATTTGGAATCGGTGACGATGTAACCAATCCATAAGGGCTGATCTATTCAGTCTGATTCTATGCTTTGTACTCTGAGCGTCATTATGCTTTATTTATTTAGATTACATTGGGAAAACCAAAAAAATACATACAGTTGTATGGAACATTTTAGAACAGGAAGTACATTACATGAGGTGAAAGCAAAACTAGCAGGCCTCACTTGCCTTGATCAACGTTTATTGTTCAACGTCCAACAATAAGAAGTAGACGGGGCAAATCAGCACGCTAAAGCCAACATTAATAGATGGATAACAGAAAGACATTTTCAAAACCTTTTCCTTCCACTGATGGATCATTTTCTGTTCTGTTTCAGGGACGACTTGGAAAAGGTGGACGACGATCTTCCTCCTCCGGTCAGAGATCCTGCTTTGGAAGTGGAGCTGGATAAACTGCAGGATCTACTGGATAGCATCTCTTCAATGTACAAAGAAAAGAAAGATTCCACGGGGACCGTCGTCGACCCCGACGATGCAGGTCGGCTCAACCTTGGTGTTTTACTTTTAATAAAAGCAACCGGGAGAGGATGTCACCTAGAAACTGTTTTACTCTGCCAGTGTTGGGACAAATTCTGAACTTGTTTTCCAACATTTGTACACAGGAGGTCTTGATACCATCAAGAATGCGTATGATAAGTCAAAAGATGCGGCCAAGAAAGTGAATTCGACTGAGACCACAATAAAGGAGGCGAGAGACATCCGAGAGGAGGCGGAGGACATCAAGGATAAAGTGCAGCCAAACAACACCAGAGACCTGAACCAGCTGAAAAACAACATGACCTCCCAGCCAGACCTCACTCCTGTAGCGAAGCAGGTAACCGTCATGGCCGATCCAACGAGAGTAACCTGTTGCATTTTAGGATGCAAAAAAAAAAGTCTTGTTTCAAAACGGAATGAATTATTATTTATACTTGGGTCTTTCAATGTTGTATTTAAAGAATGGGAAAAAAATCTGGAAAATGTGCCAATTTTTTATCCGATAATCGTCAGAATAATCGATCAGTAAAATAACCACCAGCTGCAGCAGTTAGAAACAAGAAAACAATTCTTGTTTGAAAAAGGAAGTCATTGTTGTTAACATTCGGATCTTCTGATATACTTTGAAATTTGTGTCAGAAAAATTAGAAAAATCCGGAAAATGTACCAAACTCTTTTATCCGATTAATCGATCAATCATCAGAATGATCGATAGAATAATCGGTTGGTAAAATAATTGTTGGCTGCAGCCCTTCCTTCAATCGGATGTGCGTCATACCAGGTTTGTGACCTTCTCTCTGCAGGTGTGTGGCAGCACTCGGTCCGAGCCCTGCACCCCTCTGCAGTGTGAGGGCGGCGCTCTGTGTCCGCCGGAGGGAAGCCCGCTCTGCCAGGACGGGACGCAGTGCGTCGGCGCGCTGCCTTTGAGCAAACGGGCCGACGCCGACGTTACGGATGTGAAGGACCGTCTGGCCAACCTGAGTCTGAAGATCACAGAGGCTGCAGAGATGGTTCGCGCTTTGTCCTCATCGCTGCAGATTTTTATTGTTCATTGATTTACAGGTTTTTTAAAAATATTTATTATTGTTTAGATTTTCTCTCCGGTTTATTTTGTTGCTCTTTTCTCTGCAGCTTCAGAACGCACAGGAAAAAACAGACAAGGTGAAGCAAGTAACAAAAGACCTGTCAGGCAAAACTAAGACAGCCAGAGATCTGCTGGAGGATGAAATGAACAAGACCCGCGACGTAATTCAAGACCTCAAGGACTTTCTGACGGGTACAAAGCACTCGAGGTCGCAGTGACTGCTGTGATCAGCCTCGTACGGTAGAAATTCACTCCAACGTTTCAACTTCTCTGTCCGTCTAGATCCGTCTTCCAACCTGACCGAAGTTCAGAAGATAAGCGAGTGGATTCTGAACACCAGCCTGCCGGTCAGCCTGCCCGACCTGGAGAAGAAGCTGGAGGAGCTGAAAAATCTGGCTGCAAATCTGCCGAACACCGAGAACGTTCTGAAGGAGGCCACGCCCCAGCTGGACAAAGCCAGGAAGCTGCTGCAGGAGGCGGAGGAGGCCAGGTCAGGACCAACCTTTTGACACTGGGACCGGGAGACATTTTGAATTTCTGGGGGAAAAAAAAAAAGACAGAGAAAACAACTAAAATTGATCCTAACGTCTCCAGAAACAAAACTGCTCTTTTTGAAAAGAGGTTTTTGGTAAAATGAGAGAAAAACAATCAAGCAAATTATTGTTTTCATTTACAATGCGACTAATTTCTTTACTGTTTTACTGCCACAGGCTTACCAATAACATAGCTACAGTTCCATGAACCCAGACCGATGACTGTTGGTCAGATTGTTGACAAAAAAAATAAATTAAAAATGCACGTTAATAAATCCTTACATCTAAATCCAGAAACTGGTTGGATCTCACTAAATTTCCTAGAGTTGCACAGACAGGAGAGGACATTGTAACTCAATCCAAATCAACATGTCTTCAACGTGTTAATGAGAGAAAATCTGTTGATGTGACACATTAACAGGGTCAAGGCTCTGGAACCCAAAGAAAATGTGGAAAAACTCCTGGAAAGCATAAAAGCAGGGAACGACTCCCTCGCCGACTTGGAAAAAAAGCTGCAGGACAGTTTGGACCTGATCGAAAGCGTCAATGACAACCTGACGCAGGTAGGCGTTTCTCAATGACCCGGTTATTTAAATGAAGTCAATGCGACCTGCCGAGATCCTTTAACCCCTCTGTTTGTGGATGAAGGCAGAAGACGCGCTGACTCCAGCAGAGAAGACGCTGACCGACACAGAAGCACTGACGGCACCGATGAAGGACCAGTTGGAGAAGCTGAAGAAGCTGTTGGAGGAAGCAAAGCAGAAAGCTCCCAAAGCTCTGCAGACTGCAGGGACAGCTGAGGACGAGGCAAATGCAGCTCTACCGGTGAGATCTGGATGACACAACTTTAAACGGAGAATCAGCATGTGTTGACCGAAGCCGGTTATTCCGGAGGGACTGTTCTAGTTGGACTGTTCTAGTGGGACTGTTCTAGTTGGACTGTTCAAGTGGGACTGTTTTAGTTGGACTGTTCTAGTGGGACTGTTCTAGTTGGACTGTTCTAGTGGGACTGTTCTAGTTGGACTGTTCTAGTGGGACTGTTCTAGTTGGACTGTTCTAGTGGGACTGTTCTAGTGGGACTGTTCTAGTTGGACTGTTCTAGTGGGACTGTTCTAGTGGGACTGTTCTAGTGGGACTGTTCTAGTTGGACTGTTCTAGTTGGACTGTTCTAGTTGGACTGTTCTAGTGGGACTGTTCTAGTGGGACTGTTCTAGTTGGACTGTTCTCGTTGGACTGTTTTAGTTGGACTGTTCTAGTCCTTCTTGTTTCCTTAGCTCCGGTGCATTTCTATTGTCTCATAAAGAGAATGAGAAGAGTGAACTGTCCACTAGCAGGTTTCTAAACCTGGAAATAAAAATGATGTTGTCAGAGTTCTTTTTCATCTGGCATTAGGACTCTATGGAGAAAACAGCGTCCCCTGCAGGACGCCTTGCTAAGTCGCTAAGGCTACTTCTTCCTCGTCAATATATGATCATATAGAGCTGCAAATGAAGAGGAAACCAAGTGTGTTAAGGGCGTTTAATGTTCTGTTACATCCTCTAACACGAGGCCATCGAAGCCAAGTGTTCTGCATATGTATACTGTATATTTGCATGTAGTCACACTGATGGCTGTGTGTATACTTTCAGATTCTGAAGACTTTGGAGGAGCAGCTTGATCGTCTTAAAGACCAGGTGGGCCCCGGAGCTCCTGGAGAGACGACTCCTCTGGCAGAGAGAGTGGAGAAGCTGAAGGAGAAAGCTAAAACTCTGAGGAACACGACGCTCAATATGACAGATGCTCTTGAAGGTAATGCAGGACTGCTGCTTGATCAATATGTTGTCTTGAATCGTGACAAGCTTTTGACCTTTCGTTCACTGATTTCAACCTTTGCACACATTTGGTTGTCAGTTGCACGCTTGTTTTTAGATGCTGATTGACGGGTCCAAATGTTTTTTGCTCATTTTTTTTTTCCTGTGCTATTTTTCCATCATAATGTCATGAATAGGAAATTCAATGACTTAATGGCAGACAGTGTTAGTTAGTTATTTTCAGGGGGGAGCTGGATGTAAGACGGCTTCTGAGACACTCGGAGTGTTTTTTGACGGATGCTGGTTTTCTCATCCACTCTCCAGGAAAAGCAGACTCCCTGAGAGGCCTGCAGGACGAGATCATCCAGAAGTCTACCGAGCTTGATGGACTCGACACCAAGCTGAAGGACATCTTGCAAACGATCCGAAAAAGAGCCGAAGAACTGCGCTCCTGTTCGGCCTAAATCACCTTATTGCTCGGTCATCATCAAAACCCTAACCTAATTTTTTATTTTTTTTGTTATATTTGCACTCTTTGCATAGCACTTTTTCAACAAAACCATTTTTATTCTGAGATATAGTAAACCGTGTTTCCCTCTACACTGTTTTCCACTATTTGCATGTGGTACAACTGTTCTACTTTTCAAAAAGGAACAAAAGGGTCACTGACACTATACAATATTTATTTTTTTTTTTTACTGATTTGCATCTGCTGTTTGTGCACTTTTAAAATAAATTCTTATTTACTCTTAAGTGTGTGCGAGAGTTTAGCGTTTGATTTCCTTGTTTGGTTTTTAATTATTCAGAGGTTATAAAAGTTAACTAAAACTAACAAAATAACTAAAATCGAGAAAACATTTTTATAAACTGAAATAAATAAAAACAGCAATTTTGGGGGGAAAACTAACTGACTGGAACTATATTGTGAGTTTATAAAGCTGAAACATACTGAAAGCGTAGATGTAATATCTTTGGTTTTGTGTTCATGAATCAAACGTTTTAGCCTTTCTGAGTTGTTTTTTTAAATGGTATTGTTGAGTAATCATTACTCAATTGATGCATACATAATCCATAATACAACACTTTGGCTCATTTTTAGGCACAGAATTTAAGAAAGTCAAAGTAGGAAAACCTAAAAGTACCACTAAAACTAATAAAAACCAAACTAAAACTATGCAATTGTAAAATTAAAAACTAGCAAACACACTCTAAAATTTAATTAAAACTAAACTAAAACCCCAAACTTTTATAACCCAACTCAAAGAGAAACCAGAGCATCAGTCACCATATATTTAATGTGAAAACAATACAAAAATGCACTGTACTCTCTATGGAAATACAGTCTCACATGGCATCACTAGTGTCGACCAGAGATGCATCGAGAAATGGGCGGCTGGTCTGAACCGGACGATTTGCTAAAAAATCTCTGAACGTCGAAAAGCCGTCCAGCAACAATAGGATCAGAGCTGCTTCTGCTCAGAAAGCGCCACCGACACTTTGCGATGCAGACGTTCTTACAAAGAAGAAAATTCAAAGAAGAAGAAAATTCAAAGTCTGCCATTTCCGGTATCAATGAGACGTCTCGAAAATGCCTGGCTTTGCATGTTATTACTGCTGCTCAGATTCTCTTTTCTGGTGCAAAAAGAGAATCGTGTCACACTGGATTAACATACTTAACCCTTAATTATGTCTTCTAAAAGATCCTCATATGATAAAGTCTTTATTGGCAGCTTAAAGCTTTAGAAAAAAATAAACTGAAATCGACCACAGATTCTGTTATCGGTGCATCTCTAGTGTCGACAGCATCTTTTCACCAGCTTGTGGCACTTTATCACTTTAGTTATGAGAGCAACTTGCAGGCGTATGAGAGAAAAGCACAGCAATCAGCCTTTTGATGGGATTCAGTGGCGCTGTGGCAAAGTTTTACTAACATCCGCATCAGCATGATTCAGCGCCAGCAGTAAAAACAGAGCAGGCCCAGAAGACTGTCAATAACCAAAACATGCATTTTCCAGACACCTAAGCACTTTTAAAGACTGCCTGGGTGATTGACCATGAACTCATTCAAACTTTCACTTATGGCTGTTTTTTTTTATGCCCTGACATATGCAGTGGTGAAATGTGCGACAAATGAGATCACGTTACATAGTGGGCTCATGAGTGAAATGGCAAGTGTCTGGCTCAGAGTGGAGGACAAAAACCAGTTTGAACTCTTCAGCGGCCTTCGTTGGATTCCTGCCAATGCCAGAAATACAGGAGACAAGCAGAGCAAATATGCACAGACACAATAGACACAAACGGATCACAAGTGACAGGACTTTGAAGTTAAAACATCATAATACCATTCCAATTCCAACCGAATTCAAATATCAGTGGAAAATAAATACAGGAGATTATTTAAATGATCTATGTCTATATTAGACAAGCACAGAGTTCTGTTACACACTGGGCTTCATTATCAATGAATAATCATTTTCAATCTGTGTCTATCTTTGAACATATTATTGAAGTTAATCAGTTTTAAACATTTTTAGCGTGTATATTGTCTCTGAATCTGATGGCGTTCAGCAGCAGGCGTGTCAAGGAGGATCAAGGACTCAGGCCAACTGCAAAAAAACAAAAACAAATCAAGAATCAGAAAGGGGGGGGGAGGTAAGAATAATAATCTGAATGCTACAACAGGAGGGATGATATTTTACCTTCAGAATCATTACATGATTGTACAGACTCCAGACTGAAGCGGCTGTTCCTTCCTCTGACCCACAACTTCCAAGCTGGACCGCAACACACAACAAGACTTCATTTAAAGAAAGATTCCCCCCAATCAAACCAAATCAGTCCAAAAAAAAGTTACGTCTAAAACCTTCGAGGGTTGGGAAATAAGTGCTGAACACATGAAGAAAAAGGTGTGGAAAACATGATGGGAAGCCAAGAAACCGACTGAAATCTGTCACCATTCAGAAAGTTATGTGAAAATCACTATACAGTCTATAAAATGTATCCCCCATACCAAATAGAGGGACAGCTGTTAAAACAATGGAAATCCTCACAAAAAGTCTTAACGTTGCTAATGGCAACAACTACAGCTGCGTTTCTAAACTCTCTAATGTTCTACTCAGCTGGACATTTCACAATAAGTTAGCAAAGGTCAGGTGGCCTTTGTAAAACGTCTGACAGATGAGTCTAAACAATAATGTAATGGAGATAAAGCATTTTCCTCTATAAATAAAATAGGCAATCTGCTCACTCACTGCACAAGACTCCACTGCTGAAGTACAGAATGTTGAAGCTTTTTTAAAGTTTCCTGCTGAAAATTTGGACAAGCCAGTGAAATACTGGGACAATATAGTCTAGTCAGACGAGGCCAACAGTAGATTATTTGGAGGTGGAATAATCATTAGACCATTGGAGGAATAATGGTTCTATACTCTGTCCAACTAATCTTTCATTGATAAAAAAAAAATAAAGCAGAAAATCTGTAGAAAGAACTGAAGAGCAGTGTGAAAAAGTACTTGATGTATTTCTGAAAGTTTGTTCAATTTACTATGCGTCATTCCAATTGTCACCCCTAACTTCATTTGTTGTCTAATTGGTTGGTGTGGGTTGCTGCCGACATCTGGTGTAAATCTTGTCTCTATAACTCCATGAGAAATATTTAAACTGAGAATATGTTCCATACTTCTTTTCACAGTATTCCACATCGTATATCTAAAAAGCTGTTTTTTGTTTTGTTTTGTTATTTTTGTCTTTTTTGAAAAACATCACAGGGAAGGGGAGCAGCTCTCACCTGGGAGACGGCCTGAAATGAGTGTCTCCTTCTGAATGGAAGCTGTGGGCGGCGTCTCTTGGATCTGCCATGACGGCAGGCGTGCCGCCAGGTTCGCTGTGACTGGATCTGAAGAGCAGAGACGTCTCTCTGCCGGACTCCGTGTTAGCGCTCCGTGAAAGACTCGCCGTCACGATGGGGTTCCCGTTAGGGTCAAGGGGGTCCTCCTCATCACAGCAGGGATTCGACGGCTCAGAGTCGGCCAGAGAAGAAGACTCCACTAGGATGTTGGGCAGAGAGAGGGGCGAGGGGAAGGGCTCGCTGTGGGACAGCTGCAGTTTCATCATGTGGTGGACCACTGAAGCTGCATTGAAGGCTTGCTATTGGACAACGCACAGAGAGAAAAGACTTCATGAGAGTGGAGAAAAGAACAATTACTAATTGTGTAGTATTAGAATAAACATGTACATGTATGTGGTTACAATCACATACAGTCCAATTCAGTCTAGTTACAACACAATACATTGCGTGCACAATTATGAGGCAAATTGCATTTGTGGTTTCATCTTACTATGTATTTAGGGGTACGTATTATGTATCTTCCAGGCACATAGTGCCATTTTATAGCACTATCGTATAACTACAAAATAGCGCCTCCATCTCTTTGAGAACTTTTGCCATTTCTGAAAATTCAACATTTTTACCAGCGTGGCACTGAGAAGTAGCTCATACTGAGCTCAGCTGATGTGCAGTAGCACCAGGAGTTTGTTCATCACAGGGGACGGCTGCACTGTGAGCTTTAGACAGCCACTCTGAGAAGGTCCTGCACCTCCAAGGAGGCGCCAAGTCCACCCAGGCACAGCTGCCATGGGAGATTACAGGGTTTCTCAAACTCCACTCCAGCTATGTTTTTGATGACAGAACAACATTACACCATGAGGTAAAACTCAAAACACTGCCCTTCAACCTCAGACTTGAATATTTAATGAAGCAAAAAGGAATGCTTAATTATGTGCCTAATTATTGGGCAATTATTTGTATGCAGAACTATAATGCAGTCCAATCAAAAATTAAGATTTTCCTATTTAATTTCTTTATTTTTATTTATTAAGGTTTAAAATAGAGTATTTTAAAGCTACAAATAGAAATTTCAGGGGAAGTTGCAAACATTTATTTTTTATCAGTCCTTAATTTGTGGACTAAGTAAGTGTATCTTCAAGATTATAACTGCTCAGTATTTATTGTTTATGTCAATTACTAAACTTTTTTTATTGTTGTTCTGTGATATGTCCCTGTCCCTCCTCTTCAGGGATCAATAAAGTGTTATTATTACCTATCAATTATCTCAAATCTAATTATGGCATTAAAGCAGCATGCAGCAGAGTCACTGACCTTCCATTTGGATTTGGCAAAGTTTCTCCCCATCTGTTCACAGACAGACTGATAAATGTCCAGGTCTTTGGCTGTGCTTTCAGCAATCCTGAAATCACATCAGCAGTACGTGTTAGCAGGAACACACTGAAAAACAGCTCAAAGAACCCGTTTGTGGTCAAGAGGGAGAACTCACCACGGATGCCGGAGTGCCTGTTCAGTAGTGAAGCGTTTCGTTGGGTTTTTTTCCATCATGTTCCGGATGAAGTCTTTGGCTGTTGACACATGAGGCAGCAACTTTATGCTTGAGGCTGCTAAATCTGAGCATGTTTAAACATCTGCAGTCCTAAACATGGCACTGGTGTTATTTAAGTGTTTTTCAGAGTCATTCATTTAGATCGCTAAGAGTCACTGACATGTCCAGGAAGCACACTAACGTTCCAAATGGTCCATAATTACAATGTTGTGCAAACGGATCCTGTGATATGACGGTAAAATGCACAGAAATATTTATGATATTCCTATATTCTGATCAGTTAGCCAAACATGTAGCATAAACTGAATGTTTTAATCCATGTTGTAGATATTGGCCCAGACACTGAATTCAGAAAGCAACACAAAACATGTGAAAGGCATGGCCTGAGTGAATTTAGCATAATATTGGCAGAGAGTGTATTATGATTTGCTTGACACATTTAGTCTAAGAAAAGCATCTCAGGCTTATGACACACGGTAGATTCTAGGAAACATCATTCTAGAAACATCAGAGGGTCTTTCCACACCATGGTTTATGTTCCACATGTGAGGTTGGAGACTGGGAGAGCTCTCCTTCTCTGATTTTAATCACTGATACAAACTGACACCTCATCCGTCAACAGACTACCCAAATAATAATCACAAGGTGGATAAAATCATAACAGAGACAAAATATCACCCATTATCATCTACATAACCATTTATCTGTCTACAATGCTATGAAGTGTAAAGCTGGAATTCAGTGTAAGCAGCAACTATATCTGGCTTAATCCAGCAGGTCAAACCACTATAAATGTCTCCAGAGGCTGATGTCACGTTATGCTTGATTAAATATGCTAATCCTGAGGATTATGTGAACAAATCCTATGTAAGCCAAGGAGAGGCAAGTTTATTTTTATAGAACCACTGCCACACAAGGCAACCCAAAGTGTTTACTGATTACCAAAGCAAGGAGAGAAAAAATTTTATTCTTAAAGTAAATTGAAAAGTCATCGCAAGACTTTCTGGGTCAGCGTTCCAAAGGGCCAAGTGGTGAGGGTTTGTCAGCCAGTCTACCGTAGTATTGGTGTTTTATAGACATGTCGCAATCTGAAAGACTTCCTTTCTTACCTGACTCAGAGATGTCATCCCAGAAAGGTGAATGGAAGGCATACTCAGCCCTCATGATCTTTGAAAACAGACGAGTCTCATTTTCTTCAAAGAACGGAGGGTAGCCACAGAGTCTGCAGAACATAGAACAAAATTAGCTCTATTAGTCATGTGTGCCTTTACAATTTTCTGTGTCTCATGTAATTTACCATCCAAACAAGTAATGTGACCAATGGATCTGGGCAAAAAAAGTTGAATTGAACCTGGTTGTTTATAAGTGAAATTAATTGGATGAAAGTTCTGTGATTTGTAGGATTTGTAAAGGTGTCCTGTTAACAGTTTCCCCCAGCTGAGCAATGACTCACTCAGGGCCTTTTGGCTGCTTCTGTGTCAAACCTCTCCTCCTTTCCATTTTCATTTGATGGATTGAACAGAGCTAATTCAGATGTTCAAATCATGGACTGTTGTTCCAGGCTGGACAGTACCACAGTGGGTAGCACTTTTGCATGGGTGTGAATCCCAGCCCAGGGTCTTTCTGCATGGAGTTAGCATGAGTGGGTTTTCTCTGGGTACTCCGGCTTCCTCTCACAGTCCAAAATCATTGCCAGTCCATACCCTGCGATGGAATGGCAACCTGTCCTGGAGGTTGTTGTCGCAACCCCACTAGGGATAAGTGTGTCAGATAATGGGTGGGTGGCATGTTGTCCCAAAACCTAACCCTGCTTTAAACTTTTCTCCCAGACCTGTAATTCTCAGTTTTCATAATGCTTTCTGTTCACCACTGTTCTTCCATGTGTATACCCTGCAAAAAGTCCCCTTTCAAAAACATAAAAAAAAGTTTTTGAAGTGTTCTGCTGAATTTTATCTTTTTCTTTTGTTCTTTTTGCATTTTGAAGCACTGCTTACAACCTGATTATGACCAGTGTTAAAGTTAGCGAGGTGAAACTACTTACAGGATGTAAGTGATAACTCCAATGGACCAGCAGTCCACTGCTTTGCTGTAGGGCTTCTGAGCCAAAACTTCAGGAGCTTAAATGAAAAACAGTGGACAACATTCAGGTTAAAAAGCACTTCCCATCAAGAATGTCAAGCTATCATGCTACACAAAGAAAACTGTTGGCATGAAATAAAGTCCTATTTTTTTTTCAGACCGAAGCCTCAAATCTCAGACACATAATTTGGAATTTTGTGAAATTTGCTGTATGACAGACAGAAAGTTATATAAAATAGTTGGTTTGTGTCAATGCTTACTGCTAAGGATTTTTGTCAACTCACTGTTATTTGGAATTTTGCCAATAAAAGTTTAACAGGAAAAAAAAACAGCTTTTTGTTATGAAATGTACTGTAAAGGTCCTATGTGAATACAACTGTACAAGTGTTTTGATACATGGTTGCATTTTGAACTGATTTTTGCAACAAAACAAATTACAAACTCAGCTTTATCCGCTAATACTGGAAATCAAAGGGTCTTTTTAAAGTTTGTGTCTCACTGCCCTGTGATTTTACTGACAAAAAAGATTCTGTATAACTATCTGACCTGTTTGGTCTTCTAATTTACCATTTATTATAACATTTAGTATTTCTTTTTATGTCAAGAGGATCAAGGTTTGCGACTTAATTTCATGATCTATTCTGCTCTTATAATTTACATTTACTTTACTGGAGTTTTGAACAGTTTTGCCTCTGAAATAAACCTCTAAACATTGACAGATAAAAATTGTACTCAAAGATAGTAATTTGTATGTAAAGTTGCCTTCATTAGTGGTGTACTTTACAAATTAGCAGATTCTAATTTCATCTGGAGTTGCAGTGCTGAACATCAAGAAATACATTACATGAAAGCAGTACTCACACAAGGTTTATAAAGTAGGCAAACCTTAAGATTCACTTACCAACATAACCCGGGGTGCCACAGGCTGTAGACATGACTCCATGCTCAAGTGTCTTAGACAGACCAAAGTCACTGACCATGATCTTAGCATTCTCGTCCATGTTGTAGTACAGCAGGTTCTCCGGCTGTGCAAACAGACGAAGAAACATGAAAGATGAGAACTTTACTAACTTCATAAATACCTGGAACCACAGGAACCAGATTTTATGGTGGTGGAAAGTATAACAGCCTAACTATGGAAGCAAATATGTGTCTCTAGGGTGATCAGATTGAACATATTGCGTTTAAATTTTAAAAACGTGCATCTTTTAACACTGAAAAGTTTAACTGAAAATGTGCTATTGAAAATGTGATCACATTGAATCAGATGTGTTTGTTTTTTTGGGGGGGGGGTGTTTTTAGCTTGAAGTAAAATAAGAAATGAAATTTCAACCATGTCAAAAAGAAAAACAATGACATTTTCTTTAGGTTAAAAATGTATTCTGAACATAATTTAACATGGAAAAGAGTAAGTGGAAGTATGCAACATTAAAATTTCAGTGGCATTTTATTTATTCAAATCCTTCTGACACATATTTATATCAAAATCTTTTAATTACCCGTGTATCTGGTAATCACAGCCAGACTACTTTATTTGCTTTAGTTTTAGCTACCATAAATAGTGAGCATCTCCAATACTGATTTAAACAGTTTTTCACTATTATTATTATTATTATTATTACTATTATTTTCTTTTTTTGCTAATGTAGATGTGACTTTCAGTGAGTCACTGAACATGATCTTTATAGTAAAAAGTGTGAAGAAATAACCAGGCACACAAATATCAGTTTCAACTTGTGAAAGGTTGTATCTGCACAGGTTGTGTGTGTGTGTGTGTGTGTGTGTGTGTGTGTGTGTGTGTGTGTGTGTGTGTGTGTGTGTGTGTGTGTGTGTGTGTGTGTGTGTGTGTGTGTGTGTGTGTGTTTGTTTACCTTCAGATCTCTGTGCACTATGCTGTTTTTATGAAGATAGCTGACAGCCTCCAGCACCTGTTTGATGACTTTGCTGGCGTCCTTCTCAGTGTAAACCCCTTTGTCTAAAATGCGATCAAACAGTTCACCGCCGGACACCCTGTTCATTTGCACACGGACACAAACAAAGGAAGGTCAGATTTTCTAGAAATCTGCTGTGATATCTTTAATGTACAAGTATTGATTTTTCTGCATCCTTTGTTTCAAGGCATTTGTGATTAGCTGATTTTTTTTTTTTTACAATTACATTTTAAATTGATTTTTATCAGAAGCTGTAGCTAATTATAATCAACATTAGCTTTTAGGTAATGCCTTTATTAGTAGTAGCATAACTGAAAATTTTGCTATAAAACAAACAAAAAGAAGATGTATGGTTTAATATGCAATTTTTTTTCCCTCTCTTTTTTGCCATTGCTCAATACAGTGATGTGACAAAAGGAAGAGTCCACTTACAGTTGCATGACAAGGTAGTAATGTGTTCGGCTTTCATAAAAGTCCTCCAATCCTATGACGTTATCATGTTTTATCCTGGAAGAGAGACAAAGATGTATTTTAGCTGTTAAACTTTTATTTACAAGAGCTTAACTAAAAAAAGATTAGTTAGAAAAAACACAGCGAAGAAAAGGAACAGCCAGCTTTTTCAGTCTTTCTGTTTACTAAAATCTGATACAAATCCTCTCTGAATTTTACCTCTTCAGTACGTTGATTTCATTTTCCAGGTTGCTGTGAGTGAGGTGCTTCTTCTTCAGACACTTCAGGGCGTAAAGATGACCCGTTTTCTTCTCTCTCACCATGTAAACCTCAGAGAACGACCCCCTGCATGGACACGCCCAGAGAGGCCATGTGAAAACAGCATCTGTTTCTAACAATAGCATTTACTTAAGTGACATACGCAACACTTTTTTTTGTTGTTGTTTGGTTTGTCCTAGTTTTAACGTCAGTTTAGACAGTCGGAAGCAGAGTTTTTTTTTAGTGTTAGCCGCTGTTTAACGGCAGGTCAATGCCTCAACCACACCTCTAATTACCTAACAGACTACTTCTCACCATTTTCCAAGACGTCTACATGGAACACACAATTATCAAACACGACATCAACCTCATTTGTTGATAATATTTCAGCTCTACAGAGTTGTGTTACAATAAAAATATTCTGCCAAATAAAGACACAACAGACTCCATGTTGAGAAGATCTTTCATCTTTACTTATCCTTCGATCCAGTCCAAGTTGCCAAAATGAGTTCTATTCGTTTGAGCTGGTTCGCTGATCATGTCAGCGGCGACCCCCTGAAGCGTAAACTGACATTTACACTTTGAATGTCAAGTTTAAAGCGTATACTGACATTTCATCGTTTTAAAGTTTTTACAACTCTCCATTGGCTTCTGTGCCAACGTCTCCAATTTGAGAAGACTTCTCCTTCATGGGCTTTTTAATGTAAGTCATTCAATCTGAATTGGACCAAAAGGTAAATGCTTGTCCACTCAGATCATCACTGATTTGCACTGATCACCAAAGTGCAAACATACAACCAAGTAATGATGTAATTCGTTCATTAGCTCCATTTGATCGCAGTTCAACATCCACTTATCATCTATTCAGAATACATTTGTGGCCATTTCCACATTACAAGCATGCAGATGCACTATTGCACTTGTCCCAAATCAAGACTAGCTTTTTTGTTAAAGTGTGTTGTTGTGCAACAGGGATTACAACGTTTAGCTAATGCAACTCTTAATAATTAAGATTCATAATTTATTTGTAATGAAATTATCAATGAAGTTAAGTTACTTTTAGTTAAAACAAAGTGGGGTTACTGCCTGATCAGAAATTATTAGTCAAACCCATTTAATGCACACGCACCAGAACAAACCCAAACATTAAAAATATTCTGCTAACTTCTCTGGTGACACTAACACTTAAATATACAAGGTATTGTTCTTACGAAGTCATCACCTCTTTTTGTGTTTGCAATGTATTGTGATTTAGACTGATAAAAAAAGTTCTTATTTTTTTATTGTTTTCTCTTTTTCAATACAGAGATATGTTTGACATTTAGGGACTATATTTGTGGACTTCTGAGACAATTTTTTTATGTATTTTTTTACATGTATGAATGTATACCTCTGAAGTGTAAAAATTATTTACTTTTCATAAGGAGCCAGGTTGCCTTGGAAAGCTTTTTTTTCTGACATAACATCACTGAACGCTGCATTCTGTCGACATACAACATTGTTTGGTGAGCTGGAACATTTAAAATGTGACAAAAAGAACAAACAGAACTATTCTGTAAGTTTGCGGCTAAGTTTTCCGAGCAACGTCTATGATTCTGCTTGTGCGCTTTAGGCTTCGAGGAACATCCATGAGCTACAGAAATCCTTTTCCACAGTTTATTCACACACAGTGAAGTGCATCCTGAGCTGAAACGAACTGCTTGCATAAACGCATACCTGGTTCTGCTCCTACTGCCTCACCTCACACTCATTCAGCACGGACTCATACACTCAGTCAGTCTCCTAATCCTCTAATGAAGTTGTGCTAGGATGTTCCAGCTCAGTTCCTCTGACGTAAGCGCTCAGACACGCACACAGGACACATTCAGAGCCGGGTGAGAAATGTGCAATAAAGCAGCTTTCAACAACAGGAGTGAGTTCATCCCCACACCTGTCAACTGTGTGTTCCAGGTGACAGTCCTGGCTAATGAAGCTACCAGGCAGGCTCAATCCGGGCTAATGAAGCACATGATGCAAATTACAAGAGAAGGCAGGTTTTTGTCATGGTGGGTTTGATTAGCTGTGTTGATTGTCTCAGTGTTCAAATTAATGCCTTAAATACAAAAGGGCCACTTAATCGTGACAACAAAAGCTACAATATGTTTTTCATAAACATAAATACATGATGATGTGAGGAATTGGATCATGATATCATACTTTGTAGCATTTAGCTAAGATATTCACATTTCATGGAAATTTAAGATGTCAGTACAAGAAGTCCCATGAAGCTTGAATGCAAAAAGCCTCAATAATAAAACACATTTAGCTTAGTTCAGTTTAGTTCGTTTGCTTATTACATAAACAAGAAAATTATGTGGAAGTGAAACTAACCCCCCCCCCACATCAACAATTTTTTTGCTGATAAACTGTCTAAATAGGTTACTGAAAGGAGTCATCAGATCATCTTTTCTGCTCGATTTAAATTGAAAGCAATTGGTTTTTCTGTTGAAAAATAGATTTATTTATGTTCACCATATCTGAACAGTCAGTTCTGTTTTTGCATTGCATGCTGCTGAGCATGTCTGAATTGGGCTGCGGTTGCTACTAAATACTAGCACTACTTAGAACAGATTGGAGTTGTAATGCTCCACTTATGAAAGTAAATCAGTTGAGCTTGTCCTTGGCACTAAGGAAACAAATGTATTCTGAGAACCAAACTTCCAAAACGGACATGTAAAAAAGAAAAAAAAAGCATTTTTGCAATGAAGATTGTATCTAATTTGTTTAGTTTGTTTGTTTATATCCAATGTAAATGGCCAGGTGTTAAGCCACTGAAGTACAGAAGTACTTACGATCCCATTTTTCCTTTGAAGTCGAACACATCCTTGATGTTGCTGACAGTTTTCTTCCAGCTGCAGATGATTTCCTTCTGCCCCATCTTGGCTCTGACGTTGCCGTAGACTCCTGCAGGACATAGAGCAAAACCAGCAGTTCTTACACTGCACACAGACAGATCCACCTCTGTCGTAAGCTACACCAATAAAAATGGATTTTATTCTGACAGTATGATCATCATGGAAGTACTGAAACTACTATATCATTGAATTCTAATATATGTGTTTGGAGCTCAAGTGGTTTGTGGATCTGATCAGGATGTCTCTTGGGGACCTCCCAGCATGTCCCACCAGGGGGGGACACCGGCGCAGACCTAGAGCGCACTGTGTGGACAATGTGTCCCTTAACACCTGAGAACACCTGAATGAGCTGGGATAAAAATTTGGGGACGTAAGTTGTTCCATAAATTGTTTGACATCCATAAATGTATTCATTGCAAATCAGTGTTGAGCTCAATTTATACAGGTGAAGAGTCAAAGAAAAGCTGAGAAATAAAGTCAAGAAACTGCCAATTTACTTACTCATCGATTCATTTATTTTACAAATGTTGGTTTCAAGTCAGTTTTCAGCAGAATTATTCATCTGCACCTTTTTCAGAAGTCGCCTATTCCCCACCCCATCTCCGTTTATATAACCAGCTGCAGACGGGTCAGTTCTTACTCAGTAAAGCTCATTTGTACCTATCACTTACACCAGATTCAAAAAAAGTACAGGATTAGAGAGATAAATAGCTGGTTAAGTAATCCTTCCATTCATTCCCTCAGTCCTCTCCTCCGCCTCTCCTCCAGCCCTGATCAGTGGAACAGATTAAAGCCTATTTGACCCCCCCGATCAGAGTTATTCAGTTATCTCCTTAAAAGACTGGAAATGTTTACCTTGTCCATAATGTGACAAACTAGTGTTTCTTGATTTTCTATATTTCTATATTTTTTATTTACTATCTATTATTGAGATGACATGATACAAAAAAAGAACAATCCTGAATCTTTTCTGTATAATTCATTACGAGTAGATTTTAGTTCAACTAATAACGAAACAACACAACTAAAGTTATTTTATTATTATATTACCAAGTAAGTTTCAACATCTAACAGCTGCCCAAGTCCTTCACAGACTGTCCTGTTCAACACATTTTATATCGAAATTCAGATCACAATGACTACGGCTAAGGTAGCAGGAAGGGAAATAAAAAGTTTGTCTTTATGTTGTCCTGATACAGAGAAGCAGCCAGTACCCCAAGTTACTGTAACTCGGGGGACTGGCTGACCTTTAGGTTCTGAGACACTTTCAAACAAAACAACACGCAAGGATGCGAACACTGAACAATATTAGCATATAAATATTATTCAAAAAGCCGAAGCTGTTTTCTAAATGTGTCTCTTACCTGTGGAGCGTAGATATAGATGCGTTGACTTGGGGTATCCGCGCGTGTGCCCGCCGCCCTGCCCAGCCGCGGCTCTTTAAGTCCGGAAGGGGCGGAGTCTCGTTCATTCACATCGCGCGCGGCCTGAAAAACGTAGGGGGCGGGGGGTGAGGGGGGTCACTGCGTCATGTTTTCATCACGAGGGCGATTTCGTTTGGAAAACGTTGCTACCTTATAGGCATTTGCTTACATGTGCTTCATTCAGGGTCTCCTCTCAGCTGGTTTTAAAGTGTTATTCAGACACATTTTATTATCGTTTGCCATAGACCTGTTTTATTTACAGGTCTATGGTAAAATGAAGAGCCTGCTGCGCTGAAGCCCATTGAAAACCTGGTTATTCCAACAAACATTCATTTCTGAACTCTGTTCAGAAATTAATGTGTAGTGCTGTTTCTAAATGAATATGAATTTGTTTTCTTTGCAATACTTGAGGTCTGGAAGCGCTGCATCTTTGCATCTTTTTCATAATTTTGACCATTTCTCATTTCCTGCATTACATTTTTGCTTGGTCTTTTGGAGACATGTTATATTGGAGACATATATATGCGTGTGTGCGCGCATGCGTGTGTGTATGTATGTATAAACAAATAGGGATTATGCAAATTAGCATGCATTTCATATTCAAATATTTCACTTACTTAAATTTATGTGACGTGTGCTATGATGGAAAGTAGCCTCTCTGATGTATCCTGTCTGAAAAGAGGGCTACATGTTCATACATACAGAAAAAAATCCATTCCAAATGTTATCATGCTCCGGAGATAGTGGGCAAGATTATCTCGAATGCACCCCCAATTTTCACTTTGACTAGGCCAGTCTGGCACATGGATGTGCCTAAATAGCAGAATAATGATGATAATCCTTTGGTACATTTTTAAAAATGATTCATAGTGCTTGCTTGAAGATGTCCAAGTTTCTCTTCCTGACGTTTTGAAGAGAATAGAAATAACATTTACCATCTCTCAATGGGAAAATGGTCACTTGCAGTGAAACAGTTGCATGTAAACTGTATTGCTGTCGTGGTTTGGATTGCTCTTTTGGAGCTGCTAGTTATTCTACTGTCATCTACTGAAAGGAGATTTTCACGCAAGCTGTTCAGGACTGAACAGCTGCAGGCAAGCAAAACAGCTTGGCAAAACCTTACCATGTGATTATGACACAGCGAGTCAACATAACTACCCTGTTGACTTTATCACAACCAATGGGATCTCTGCAACAACAAGCTCTGCTTGGTAAGAGACTTTGTGCTACTCTAGACTAACGGAGTAGCGCTGAGTGTGTTTACAGCCATTACAGGTTCACACATGTTTCACTTTGAGGGTTTCTCTTCTAAATTGACAGTATTTCCTATAGACCAGTGGTTTCCCTGGGAAAACAAGATGTGTTTACTCTGAAAGGAGATTCTGAATGCTTAGGACTGACAATCAAATCCCATCATAATGATGAGTGAAGACTTTTATCATTTTTGGCAGGAGTAAATGATGTCTCCTCAAATACACAACACCAGAAATTACATTTGTTTGATATTTTATGAAAGATTTAAGTTTTTTTTTTCATTAATTGTTTATGTGGTTATATTATTAAAGTATTCTTTGTTGTCAGAACTGCTATCAAATATTTAAAAACCCAAAAGCACTCCTGATCCAAATCTGGGAAAATGTCATGTATTTACATCTGGTGCTTCTGGATCATAACCAGAATAATCATTTCAAAATGAAGAAACTGGATAACAACAAATAGAGCAAGAAAATGACCGAAAATGACATTTAAACTTTTTGCAAATGTCATTAACCATTCATTTGACATGAGGCATTCATTTTTGACAATGTCCTCGTTTAATAAGTCATAATAATCAAAAAGACAAAAAATTAAGGATTGCGACCTTTCACCCTTTGAGAAATGAATCTATATGACATATGAGTGTCACTTTCTGAGTGACAAAAAATATTGAACTTTTTCACAGCGTTCTAATTTGGGACCATAAGCTTCAGCCACTCAAATATGGCTTATTGCTTTTGAATTCGAGTTCACGGTGCAAATAAATATGTAACAAAATGTTTAAAACTCACTTAAATTTTGGCTATAGGTTTGTTTATTTGTTTTGGGTTTGAGTTGGCTTAACTTTAAAGTAGTACCATTACTGTTTACTGTAGTAATTGCGCCCCCTATAGTCGAAGCATAGGAGGGCTTTAGAGTTTGATGTCTGCTTTTGTTTTCTGCTGGTAATTTTGTATGTACTGTTTTAAAATTGACATGGAATTGGAAATCTAAGTGAATTTACAAGACAAGAAGTTAAGGTTTTGTTAAATTGACTTACGTGTGCACTTCTGCTCCCTTCTTCACCCTACGTCGCCTGCGTCACTTGTTGACGTCGCGTTGATTTTGAGCGGAGGAATTATTTATTTATAAACTGACGCAAGGGCGCTAAATCTAAAATAAACCGCAAATAAAATGTAATATCCCATTATGTATGCACTGATGAAGCAGCTACACGCATGAGAGGTTCGATAATATGTATCCTTAACACAATAAATTATTTACATCTGCGTCAGGCTGCGTTAAATTGAATGTCTTGTTGCTAGCACAAACAGTCGGGCTAGCTACATTTTAGCTAGCAAGCTAACTTCACGAGTTTAGTGTTCAGCGGAGACGCTTGCTTTAAGTATTTGTTGGTAGTTATCTTATTTTAATGTTTATTGTGTTGCTGCGATGTGATGTATGTCCGGTTTGTTCACTGTAACTTGGTCGTGACAGTAAAAACTGGTCTGTATTAGTTGGCTAAAAATAAGTAGCATACTGATAGAAGGACTTCTTATTGAGCTGCATGCTATAATTTAGCTTCAGCTAACTGACCGTGTTAGCATCCTGGGAACAGTTTGGGTATTTTTAAATCGTTTTTCTTTCTATTTGTCTGTTCGTTTAGCCTTTTTAAACTTTTCCGACTGTGCTATAGGAATCCTATCTGTAAGATAATGGCACCCCGAGTGAAACTGGAGAAAGCCGCTTGGCTTTGGGTGGAAACAGTAAAACCAGAAGACATTAAGCAGGAACACATAGAATTAGCATATCGGATCAATATCCCAGCCTGCAAAAGAGGAATCTGCAGGTACGGTATGAACATGTAAAACTATTCGTGTGTGTGGAGGAGCAAACTTAATTTTGAAGTGGACATCTCAATGAGCCTGTTTTGTATAGCTTTTTTTAAAAAAACGAAAAGCAGCGCCTTTTCTCTTCGACTTAATGTTTTTCGTATTGATGTGTCAAAGTTTTGGTTTCTATTCTTTTTACATATTTCTTTGTAAACTCATATCAGTTGTTTTTGGGAACCTTTATACAAGAACACTGCATATTTTATTAGGTTGCGACGTGTGTGTGCGTTTTTAATGTCGCATCGCTTTTTCATGTCTCCCGGTTTCAGAAAAGGGTTATTCTGCTAGTTTGTTACTGTTTGCTCCATTTTCACAATCTGCACAGAATTTACCTTTGTGATCTTGAACTATAGCGTCTGACGGCATAGAAAAGTTCATCACAAAGTTAGTCGAGATTATTGCATCTAAAAAGCATCTCAGTTCAGTTATACTGCAGTTTCCACTTATGAGATAATCAATCTTTTTTTTTTACAGTGAAATGATGAAAGGAAGGTAATGGTGGTGATTTTTCTTTGTAGGAGGAATTGTAAAGGGAATCCCAACTGTCTTGTTGGTATTGGGGAACAGGTGTGGCTCGGTGAGATTGATGAAAACACTTTCCATAATATTGACGACCCAAATTCAGAACGCAGAGAAAAGGTACTTTCTTAAAGTTACACACCCTTTGTTGGTAATTACTCAGCTGTTCTCTAATTGGGGTGTGATTGTGCCACTCATCTCTTATCTCTCTGCCCCATTCCAGAACATATTTGTTGGCCTGACCAACCTGGGTGCAACATGTTACGTCAACACATTCCTGCAAGTGTGGTTCCATAACCTGGAGCTGCGGAGGAGCCTTTATCAGTGCCAAAATTCGCGGGCGCAGGAACACAACATTGATTCTGGTAAATCTAAAAGCCGCATTCAGAGCATTATCTCTTTCATGTTCTTATTTAAAGAAATAGAGTTGAAAATAAGCTGAACTGGCAGATTGTATTAACTGTCTTTTCTCTAATTAACTCTCTCAGATTATGAGCCCCAGTCCATATGTGAGCATCTACAGTACCTCTTTGCTCTCCTGCAAAACAGCAACAGGAAGTACATTGACCCGTCAGGGCTTGTCAAAGCGCTGGGTCTGGATACGGGACAGCAACAGGTCAGTCATACAAAAACTGTGTATTTCATAAATGCCAAACTAGTTTCATGCTTGGAACACGTCAAAAGTTGATTTACTTTCAACACGTAATAAATTACAGCAATGCTTTCTGCACTGTTTACTAAAAAAATGATAAGAAACGCAAGTATTGCAATACTGGCTGACAAGCACTGGAGAGAAAAGTTGACTGGATTTCCATGTTTGCCGATACACTCCAGAATCACTAAGCAAACATGACACCCAGCTTGGAAACATCAGTTTGGTTACTTATAATAATGTATGTTTCTTTTTTCCAGGATGCCCAGGAGTTTTCCAATCTTTTCTTGTCTCTGTTGGAGGAGACATTGTCTAAGGAGAAGAATCCCAACTTGCAAAATCTCATCCAGCAGCAGTTCTGTGGACAGTTCTTCTATGTTACAATGTAAGACCAGTTATTTTTTAGTTTTTCAAATAAAAGATTTGTTTGTGCATTTCAAGCAACTGAGGCGATGAGTTGTATTCACTATGTGCCACAGTTTTATGACTCTTATAAGACATGAGCATTTTCACACAAGGCCAAAATAAGATGGCGTTTGTTCTGAATTATAGAAGTAGTTTCTGTAGTAGCATTTCCATGGGAAAATGCTTGTTTGACATTTGGGACTTTATTAAGAATCATGTGAAGTTTTTATCTTTGTCTCCAGATGTAATCAGTGTGGAAGGTCATCGACTTTGCCGTCGCGGTTCTATGAGCTGGAGCTGAATATTCAGGGCCACAAAAACCTCACTGAGTGCATCACCGA